AACTTTCTTTTGACATCCGTTTGTGTGGTAAAGATTTCTCCACCCCCTCACTTTCATTCAGCAGGTGTCTTTAGGTCTAAAATGAGTCTCTTTGTAGGCAAGCTTCATACTTTCTTGAAAAATTAATTTGAAGACTCATCCAGCTGAAGAGGTGGCTCTAAATGAAGAGTTCTGGGGCGCCTGGGTGGCTCAGTTGGTTAAGCGTCTGCCTTCAGCTCAGGTCATGATCCCAGGATCCTGGGATCGAGCCCTGCATCGGGCTCCTTACTCAGCAGAGAGCCTGTTTCTCCCTCTCTGCCTACTTGTGCTCTCTATCTCTCCGTCAAATAAATAACTAAAATCTTTAAAAATAAATAAATAAATAAATGAAGAGTTCCAGAAAGAATAATGAAGCAGTGGTGAACTTTGAAGTCAGTTTAACATAACACTGGTCTAAATACAAATTTTAGTTACAAGATGAATAGAAAATGTCAGAAGTTAATTTCGGGATGAAAAGCATGAAAACAAAAACCAATTTAATTATATTCTTTGTGTTTAATAGAAGAAACCAAAGAAGTTGTATTTTATTCATGATTTGGTGATCAGATAGGTTAAAGAAGTTCCTAAAAAACTGTTATCAAAAGCACAGGCAACAAAAGAAATTGGAGTTTATGAAAAATTAAAACTTTTGTATATCAAAAAAGCTATCAACAGTTAAAAGGTAATTCACAGAATTAGAACAAAATACAAATCATATATTTGATTAGGGATTAATATTCAGAATATATGAAGAACTCTTACAACTCAACAACAGCCAAAAGTCTAATTTTAAAATGGGCACAGGATCTGAATAGACATTTTTCCAAGAAAGATACACAAATGGCCAAAAAGAACATTAAAAAGATGCTGTACATTATTAGTTCTAAGGCAGATTGAAACCACAGTGAGATACCACTCCATATCCATTAGGATGGGGCTGTTACCAAATAGAAAATAACAAGGTTTGGTGGGGGTATGGAGAAATTGCAACCCCTGTGTATTGCTGGTGGGAATTTAAAAGGATGTAGCCACTACAGAGAGCAATGTAGTGGTTACTGAAGAAGTCAAACATAGAAAAGTGCCTGGGTGGCTCAGTCATTTAAGTGTCAGACTCTTGATTTCGACTCAGGTCATGATCTCAGGATCATGCGATTGAGCCCCACATCGGGCTCCATGCTGGGCATGGAGCCTGCTTAAGATTCTCTCTGTCCATCTCCTTCTGCCCCCCTCCCCCACTGTGCACATGCTCTCTCTCTCTCTCTAAAAAAATAAATAAAAAATATTAAACATGGAATTACTATATGATCTAACATATACCCAAAAGAATTGAAAACAGGGATTTGAACAGATATTTGTATGCTCATGTTCATAGCAGCATCATTCACAATAGCCAAAAGGTGGATACAACTCTTATATCTAGCTAATGAATAAATACATAAAGTGTGATACATATATGCAGTGGAATATTATTCAGCCTTAAAAAGTGAAATTTGGCACATGCTACATTGTTGATGAACCCTGAAGATATTGTGCTAAGTGAATAAGCTAATCACAAAGGGACAAATATTCTAAGATTCCACTTATATGAGGTACCTAGAGTAGTCAAATTCATAGAGACAAAGTAAAGTAGAACAGTGGTTACCAAGGGTTGAGGGGAGGAGAAAAAGGGAGTTATCATTTAATAGGTCCAGTTTTGGTTTGTGAAAATGTGTGAATTCTGGAGATGAATGATGTGATGGTTGTACATCAGTGTGAATATATACTTAAAAATGGTTAGAATGGCAAATTGTATATTTTACCACACTAAAAAAATGCTAGGGCCTCCTGGGTGGCTCAGTTGTTAAGCATTTGCATTCAGGTCAGGTCGTGATCCCAGGGTTCTGGGATCGAGCCCCACCTCAGGCTCCCTGCTCTGCAGGAAGCCTGCTTCTCCTTCTCCCACTCCCCCTGCTTTTGTTCCCTCTCTTGCTGTGTCTCTCTGTCAAATAATTAAAATCTTTTAAAAAATTTTTTAAATGCTAAAAAAAAAAAAATACTACCGGAAAAACTCTAATAGAATTTTTTTTTAATTTATTTATTTATTTGAGAGAGAGAGCACAAGAGAGGGGAGGGTCAGAGGGAGAAGCCGACTCCCACCAAGCAGGTGGTCCAGTGAGGGATGCGGGACACAGGACTTGATCCTTGGACTCCGGGATCATGACCTGAGCCGAAGGCAGTCGCTGAACCAACTGAGCCACCCAGATGCCCCTCTAAAAGAATTTTAAAACTTGATATCTATCTTCCAAATTACTGTTGAGTGTACAAAATTAGCAAAATAGCATAGAACAAGAACCCGAGGGACGCCTGGGTGGCTCAGTCTGTTGAATGTCTGCCTTCAGCTCAGGTTATGATCCCAGGGTCCTGGGGTCGAGTCCTGCATCAGACTCCTTGCTCAGTGAGGAGCCTGCTTTTCCCTCTGCTAGCCACTCCCCCTGCTTGTGTGCTCGCTCTCTCTCTCTCTGACAAAAAATAAATAAGATCCTAAAATAAAAAAAGAACAAGAACAGGAAACAAGAAAATTTAAGAAAATGTAAAGTCAAATGAATGGATTACAATGAAATGTTTTAGCTATGATAAATTTAGCATACATTGCCGTTTTGTCATATATGCATTTAATTTAAGCATGTTCAATTACATATACTTAACAAAAAAGAGAAAGTATATGTCTTTTAGCAAGTGCAAGAGTTGGGGTGCCTGGGTGGCACAGTCAGTGGAGCGTGCAGCTCTTGATCTCTGGGTTGTGGGTTCAAGCCCCACATTGGGTATAGAGATTACTTAAAAATAAAATCTTAAAAAGGGTGCAAGAGTTGTGTGCAGTCTATATACTCTATGAACATATTATGATGGAATTTGAAATGGGTGATGGGAAACCTCTCTTCTCAAAGTTTACTGTCCTCGTTTGCCTTTTATAATAGTTTAAACAGCTTATCTTGAGTCCCTGAGAATGATTCTAGAGTTAAAATGTCTTTTTTTTAAATTTATTTTATTATGTTACGTTAATCACCATACATTACAGCATTAGTTTTTGACGTAGTGTTCCATGATTCATTGTTTGGGTATAACACCCAGTGTCTTTTTGTTACAACATGGCCTCTAAACACAAGCCAGGTACTTCATCAGGTGCTCAGAAGCAGGCACAGTGATTTGTTACAGGCCAAAAGGAAAAAGTACTCTCTGGTGGCTTTGTTGAGCCCATGGGATGTCAGTTTCAACATGGTGCCTTCTTTAAGGAACCTTCTGGGATAATTTCAACCCTGTATGGTTTTTCATTTTAATATGCTGACTTTACACTCTAGATTCCATTTAAAATTTATCTTGAATTGAGTGAAAAAAAAAAAGATACGAAACTACATATATTGCATTCCCTGTATATATTCATTCCAAAGCATATAAAACCAAAGTTTGGTTGTTTTGTTTTGTTTTTCTTAAGGTGGCAAAAGCTTTCAGTTCATGTTCTTTTTTTCTTCAACCCAAAAGTATTAAAGCTCTTACTGTGTTCCTGGAAGATACTATACTAGGTGCTACATTTACAGAGGCAAAATAAACATGGTCCCAAGTTTATGAAGTATGTGGAATGTTGTTACAGAAAGTAAACAAATAGACCACAAATAAATACATAATTACAAATGATAAGTGTTAAGAAAATAAACTAGAACTGGATGAGAATAATAAGAGTACCCAGTTAATTTAAGGAGCTCCTGAAGGACTTTCCAAGGAAAAAACTTTAGAGATGAGGTCTATAGGATAAAGATGGGTTAGGTAGGCAAAGAGTAGAGAATGACAAAATGGGCAGAGCTCCTGAAACAGGAAAGCACTTGATGCATTTGACAAATGAGAATGCAGTGTGAAAAAGCAGCTGAGAAAAAGCCCAATTTAATCTGTACATATGACCGAGCAGCTTAGTAGGATCCTTGCAATCTGTCCCAAAAAATCCTTCATGACTTACTTATATTTGCACTATACAAATGAGACTGATACTCAGCTCGTATTGCCATATATATTTTAGGTGCTCAGAAATGTTCTTCACCTCTTTTTTATGGCATGGATAAACTTCTCTTATCAGTGGACATAGGAATATTGAAATGTTTTTTAAAAGAAAATAAAATTATTTTGCCATCTTGTATTTCTTTATCACATAAGATTTTCCTTTCAGTGTTTTGTGTCTTGTATTATTGTCAGATTAATCTTCCTAAAACATAGCTGATTACATTTTCCCTTTATTAAAATTTTCTGCAAGCTCTGCTTTTTATTTTTTTATTTTTTATTTATTTTATTATGTTATGTTAGTCACCATACAGTATATCATTAGTTTTTGATGTAGTGTTCCCTGATTCATTGTTTGCATATAACACCCAGTGCTCCATGCAGCACGTGCCCTCCTTAATGTTACATTTCATGTACAATAAAATTTGTACTCTTTAGCTTAGCTTGGGATTCCATGCTCTGCTGAATTTTGCCTCAAACAGTTATTTTTTAATATTTCCCACCACTTTCTTTAATGTATTCTGTGATCTGGCTTGACCACAGAGTGACTGCTGTTCTTACAGACTTATTGCTTTCCTGCCTCCTTGTCTTTGCTCATGCTTCACTTCTGCCTAAAATGTCTTTCTTCCTTCCTCTGCATATTTCAAAAAGCCTACTTATTTTCCCAGTTACAGTCTGTATTCTCCTTTCTTTGAAAACCTTCCGGAACTGGAAATTGTCTTTCTTCTGAACTGATACTCTATATATTTTCTGTCATTTGCTTCTCTACCGTGTATTGTTGCAATTTATTGTACATGTCTGACAGCTTCAATTTGAGTGACATCACCTTCTGATCACATTACAACACTCCTATTGCAGTACCTTTTTAATAGAAGCAGTTTAAGAGGTCAGTTTTTTGTCTTTCTTCAACTTCATGTCTACATTTGTGTTAATTGTACTACTTTGCCACTTTTATGTAGGATCCAATGATGCCATTGCTCCAGACTTCCCAGCGGAGGTGCTAGGCACGAGGGATGATGACCTACCAGTCACTGATAACATTAAACATAAAGAGGGGATCTACAGTAAGAGGGCGGTGGCTAAGCCAACCTTGCCAATGGGGGGGAAACCCCCTCAGAAAGATAATGCAGGTAACTGAATTGGCTTTGTATATTTTGTGGCCCTTTTTTTCCCCCTGGTTATCCTAAATGAGAATATTGTCCAGTCTTTATCTTATTTCTGGTGTTATATGAACTTTTCTGTTAGCTGTTTTATTGGGTATAAACAAGGTAAAATAGTTATGAAATCTTTTAAAATGCTTCACAGATTTCTTAAGCCTATTAATTTTATTTTCACTATGGGAAATAAAATATACTGCAACTTTTGAAGTGGAATATTATCTAATCGGCTATGTTTTAGAAACATAGGAAATCTTGATTAAAGTTGCTTCATGAATTTATCTGATGGTACAAACTAATATTTTCATAGATTGGATTTTGCAAGAAAGTATATGGCTCACATAGTGTTTTAAAGTTTCTTTTCATTTTGCTGCCAACATTTAAAAGTAAGATTTTGGACTTCCCTTGAAAAATGAGAATGTCTGGTTACACTCAGCTTGCATTCCCCCATGGCAGTAATCACCTGCCCCTGATGCTTGGTTGTTCCCTGCAGAGAAGATGTACATTCTCGTGTTTGCTTCAAGTCCCCTCGCTTCTCAGAGCCAGTCTGCTTCATTCATCCACATTATCTGTCTGGTCACTATGGGTATTTGAGTTTTCAACCCTATCCCCAGATACAGGCCCCACTATTTTATGAAACTTTTTAATCTTTAAAGACCTGCTTGATTTTTTTCCTCTGCATTCCCGACATTGTACTTCCCTAGTTGATACATGGTTGTATTTATTAAATGGAGACTCCAGTGGCCACTGAAAATTCTACATGCATAATTCTCTGTGTTGCTTTATTCCATTTACTGTTTTTAATCCTGTGCATAGCTATTAGCTAAATAGGTACTGCTGATCCCAGGGCAATTTTTAAACATAGTATAGCTCTGTGTTCCAGTCTGGTACATATTGTTGATTAATACATACAATAAAGTAAAAAAATTCAGAAACATCCTTGAAATTGATAAACTCTAAATTCAGCATAAAGGTTACTACTGAAAAGACAGAGAATGGCATCTCTGAGGCTTTACACAGGGAATCATATCTGTAATGTTTTATTTCTTAAACTCTTTGGTAGACACATTATGTTATGTCTTTAGTACTCTATTGCTTTTCCGATTTCTTTGTTGAAAAATATTCATACTTAGCGATGAACTGAACCTCTTTTTGACCCATTGTAAAAACATAACCATTATTGTTATCCTAGTTCTTTTATTGGTGATTTTTAATATATTTAGTAACATTTTACACTTGAGTTTTCTCATATAAGAAAGAAAAGAGCTGATTTAAAAAAAACCAATAGGGGCGCCTGAGTGGCTCAGTCATTAAGCGTCAGCCTTCAGCTCAAGTCGTGATCCCAGGGTCCTGGGATCGAGCCCCACATCGGGCTCTCGGCTCTGCAGAAAGCCTGCTTCTCCCTCTCCCACTCCCCCTGCTTGTGTTCCCTCTCTCGCTGTGTCTCTCTCTGTCAAATAAATAAATAAAATCTTTAAAAAAAAAAAATTTTAAAAACCAATAAGGTAGATAAATCTTTAGTAAATATGACCAAGAAAAACAGAAAGAAAGTAGAAAATATTAAGCAATTTTAAAAGGATATAAGTTCAGGAGGTTTTTAAAAATCATAAGAATACTATATATAAAATCTAGATGGTACAGATACTTTTCTAGGATGATATGAAATATCAAAATTGGCTCAATAAGTGACAAAAACTTTGAATAAACCAAAGAACTCAAAAGAGTTGTTCACATCCACTTTTATACTTTGAAAAAGACAACTGATTTTTTTTTTAACTGTTGTGTCAAACCAGTGAAGAACAGATTTCATTTAAAGTGGTATTTTAGGCTAAAATTAACAAGTTAGGAAACGACAGATGTTGGTGAGGATGCGGAGAAAGGGGAACCCTCCTACACTGTTGGTGGGAATGCAAGCTGGTGCAGCCACTCTGGAAAACAGTATGGAGGTTCCTCAGAAAGTTGCAAAGAGAGCTACCCTATGACTCAGCAATTGCAGTACTGGGTATTTACCCCAAAGACACAAATGTAATGATCTGAAGGGGCACCTGCACCCCAGTGTTTATAGAAGCAATATCCACAATAGCCCAACTATGGAAAGAGCCCAGATGTCCATCAATAGATGAATGCATAAAGATGTGGTATATATAGAGAATGGAATATTACTCAGCCATCAAAAAATGAAACCTTGCCATTTGCAACGACGTGGATGGAACTAGATGGTATTATGCTAAGCAAAATAAGCCAATCAGAGAAAGACAATTATCACATGATCTCACTCATATTTAAGAAACAAAACAGAGGATCATAGGGGAAGAGAGGAAAAAAACCAAACAAGACAAAACCAGAGAAGGAGATAAACCATAAGAGACTCTTAATCGTAGGAAACAAACTGAGGGTTGCTTGAGGGGGTGGAGGGGGGAGGGATGGGATAATTGGGTGATGGGCATTAAGGGGGCATGTGATATAATGAGCATTGGATATTATATAAGACTGATGAATCACAGGCCTGTACCTCTGAAACCAATAATACATTCTATGTTAATTAATTGAATTTAAATTTTAAAATGTTTTAAAAAGTAAAGTGGTATTTTATTTAAACCATCGTTGTACACAGAAAAATAGGAAAAGCTTTTCAATTCATGTTGTAAACCCACCATAATTGTCACAACTTAAAAGCTGTGATGGGGCCTAGGAGATGCTTTTTTTTCTTAATATATAAAGAGGTTTGGGATTTTGTTTGGACTTTTTGGGGGGGACTTGCCTCTTGTGCTTATTGTCTTTTCCTTCTTTATGGAATTACATGATGTCATTATTCCAGATGCCCAAGTTCAAGTTTCCATCATTGGGGATGAGGACGTCTCAGATAAAAACCAGAAAAAGGAGATCTACAATAAAAAGGCAGTGACTAACGCTGCCCAACCTGAAGAAAAAGAATCCTTGCAGAAAACCACTGAAGGTAACTGAACTGGATTATCTGTATATTATTTTATTCTGGCCTTCTAAAATGAGTATAAACAGAAAAGTTTCTCTGTTCCCTTACTGTCTTCAACCTTTCTCTGTCTTGCTCATATGTGAAATAGAATATTAGCTGCAATTTTTTGGTATAGATTGGCAGGTAAAATTAACATTTTTAAAGCTCTTAAGACATTTCTGGACAACTTTGTGACTATAGTACACAAGTTAATCTCATTGCCAGAAATTCACATAATGGACTTTACTGATAAAAAATGCAGTTCCACAAGATGCTCTCTCTTTAATACTATTGTTGTACATAAACCTTTTTCTTTAGGAATTCAGCTTGTTTACTTCTTAAGTACATATCCAGTTAATTTACTTCAGTGGGATTATGCTGATTAAAAATGACTATAATAGTGTGTTAAAGTTAGGATTTGTTTTGGCTCTGAGAGATAAAAACAAAAACAAAGTAACATTGGCTTAAAGAAGACAGGAAATTATTTCTCTTTCTTGTAAAAATCTAGATGTGGACTCCACTGTATCAAGGAACAAAGCTCTTTCTCTCCTGTTGCTCCAACATTTGTAGCCTCCATTCTCCTGCATTAGCCAGCAGTCCTGTATTCTAGCCAGCAGAAAGGAAGAAAGGGAAAGAAAAAAGTATATTCCTTCTTTAAATACTTCTCAAATGTTGCATGTACCATTCCCCTTCCATTCTGTTGGCCGGACTTAGTCACACGTTCATACCAAGCTGTGTTGCCAGGAGGCTGGGAAATATAATCTTTATTCTGGTAACCATATGCCCATTGAAGTCAAGGTTCTAAATTTTTTTTTTAATACAAAAATCTTCATTTTCACATGTGAAAGAAAGAATCACATGTTCATTCTGACAACTTTACCGGGCTTGGCCACCCAGTAGGTAACACACACCCTTAGTTACTTGGAAGGTTAAAGTGCATGGCTCTTTAAGTGATCAAGTTGGAGCAAAGTGGTCACTTTCTCCCCAGTTGGACCCCGGCTTCATCTTCCACAAGGACACCTTACTCAGAAGAAGCTGTGGGGTGGCTGCAATTGAACCTTGTCTCCAGATTATGAAACCAGTGAAGTTAGCAGGAGTCTTGTGGCTTCTTTCATTTCAGATTGTCATGTTTACTGAAGTGAAATTTTCTGAGTAGGGAGACCAAAGTACTGCCTGCTCAGTAAAACAAACAAACAAACAAACAAGAAAACAACTCTGTAGTGTTCTAGATTGCAGGCAGGCAGCAGTAAGATAAATGTCAGTAGCCTGTTCCTGACGGATTATACAGCAGCCCTGGCTCAGGGATTTCTCTCCCTGCAAGGTTTTTTTGGTTTTTTTTTTTTTTAAGATTTTATTTTTTTTAAGTCATCTCTATACCCAGTGTGCAGCTGGAACTTACAACCTTGAGATCAAGAGTCGCATGCTCTACCGACTGAGCCAGCCAGGCATTCCTCCCTACAAGGTTCTTAAGATTGAAAGATTCTCTGGCTTAATGTTTCCATGAATAAACTTTCTTTGAATGACAGTAAGACAGGGCATTTGCCAGTCCTGTTATAGAAGAGTAGCAGTCCTCTGCTTATCAGACTGACAGTTGTGAAGTTCTCCATAGACAGATCCAAGGGGTGCCTGTTTTAGAATTAGGTAAACAAGTAGCATCATAGAAGTAACCGTACAGTCTGAAAATATTTGGATGTCTAAAGTGGGATTTGATTTCTGCTTCTCTTCTCAGCTGATGCTTACCTCTTATTTTCTCCAGTTGAGTTTTAAGTAATACTTTAAGAGCTTGGATATACTTGCTTTGTTTTTCTCTCCCCAAATAAACATTATCAAAATTTCTTTTACCCAGCAGGCCACCAAATCAAAATCTTCCAAAGCCCATTGTTTTGTTGTTGTTGTTGTTGCTGTTTTGATTCTTCATTTTACTGTTTTGACATGAGTTCCTTTTTCAGAATTCTTTCCAAGGGCTGATGGCTAGGGCTGCTCTTGGGGGTATTATTCAGGGACCTAGGGATAGGACTAGGGACACTGGTTGCCTGTAGTTGCTTCTGTTTCAGATCTGAACTACTTAATGGCTGGAAACAAGCTTTTGTGCTCATGAAGGAACGCACTTGGAGGAATTTGAAGGACACAAGATCCCCTCAACCTGTCCACTCTATTGTCAGGGTTTTATTTTAGAGGAAAGGAAAATGGATTTCAGAGGACAGCTGGTACTCTCTGCCAATATTATAAATAGAAACATTTTGGAGCATAATTAGCCACTTCTCTTTTTTTGTGTATTGCTTGTTCTCACAAGTTATGTTATATTCTGGGCAACATTTCAAAATTTTACCCCCCTTTTTTTCTGTTGCTTAATGAATGTTCTAGTAACAGATCCTGTTAATCTCACAATCAGAAAGTTTTTATTGCCCTTAAGAATAAAACCTAAACTCTTTTAGTACCGTCTTTCAGAATAGTAAAATCAGCTCCCAAACAACTTTTTAGATACCTCTTTTCCTTATAAATTCTATATTCAAATAATATACTTGCTCTATTTCTTAGATGTTCAGTTGCTTTCCTGACTTTCTTGTTTTTATATGTAGTTACCTTTGCCTAAAATACCTTTCTCTTTCTTTCTCAATGTGTATCCCAGGTTAGCTATCTTCTAACACCCAAATCAGTTGTTATTTTACTCTAGAATTCTTTCATGATCCTCCTAGCTAGAAGTAGTTTCTCCCCTTTTGAGTACATACACTTCTTTCTCATGCAGTAATTCTTTTATTTTGTATGACATCTGTTTATGTATATCTTTTATTTATTTTAGAGAGAGAGAGAGAGTGCATGCACATGAGATTGGGGGAGGGACAGAGGGAGAGAATCTTTAAGCAGACTCCCCTGCTGAGCACAGAGCCTGATGGCAGGGCTCAGTCCCACGACCCTGAGATCATGACCTGAGCCGAAATCAAGAGTTGGATGCTTAACCAACCATGCCTGAGCCACCCAGGCACCCCATGTTTTTATATATTTTTTAACTCCAATATAGATTAATAGTTTCTAAACACATTTCTAAATGATCTTTTTTTTTTCTTCAATACCAGTAATAGTGCCTTTCACATATTAGATGCTTGAGAGGTATTTTAAAATATTTTTTTGTCAACTTCTTGTCTAGATACTGTGTTAATTTACCTCTCTTAGGTTCCAGTGGTCCTGCTGCTGCAGAGCACTCAGCTCGACTACAAGACCTAAAGACTGAAAGTCTACCAGACACTAAAGCCATTAAACAGAAAGAGGAGATCCACAGCAAGAGGACAGTTCCTAAGGAAGCTTGGACAAAAGAAAAAGAATCCTTGCAGATAGATATTGCAGGTAATGGGATTGGGGCAGGGGGGTGGGGTGGGGAGTACAAGAGGAGTGACAGAGAGTGAGAGAGAGACAAGGCCTGTGTTTGTGTGTTTCCATTTTTTTCTTCTTTTTTTAAGATTTATTTATTTGAGAGAGAGAAAGCATGAGCAGTGGGAGGGGCAGAGGGAGAGGGAGAGAGAATCCTCAAGCAGATTCCCCACTGAGCGTGGAGCCCAAAGTGGGGCTCAATCCCAGGACCCTGAGATCATGTCCCACGCCAAAAATCAAGAGTCGGATGCTCAACTAACTGATCCACCCAGGCGCTCCCCATTTTATTCTGATAATAACATTGCCTCACAATTTAAATAGAGATCCATTTTTCTTTTTCTTCTATTTTTTTCTTTCTCATGCAAATCACTTCATTATGTAAAATAATTATTACCTCTGGGAAAAGATACTGTGAACTTAGAAACAGGATTACAAATAAATACTTAAGGCGGATAATAATAGAAGTATCATGTCTCAATACCGAAACTGGGGAAAGCCTAAAATCTGAAGGCATTGCAGAAGACCGTGATAAAGACAGAAAGAGCCTCAATACAAACTTTTAAAAAATAATAGTAAAAGCCAAGTAAAAGGCCATGTTTACCCATGGCCCCCTATTTCTAACATAAAAGAACATATAGAACATAACTCATTACTACCTAGCTGTCAGACTTTACCTCTAGAGGGAGATAGAACATACCTAGATAAGAAAAGAAAGAAGTCAAAGAGCTGATCTATCCATATTGTATTTTGCAAAGAGTCCAGATGCAGATGCTCACATCAAGATCAATAGATAAGATAATGTATAAGATAAATGATTTTCCACAGGATACCAAGACTACACAGTGGAGAAAGTACACTTTAACAAATGGTGTTAGAAAACTGGATATCCACATGCAAAAGAATGAAGTTGAACCCTTACTTTTTACCATATACAAAAATTAACTCAAAATGGATCAAAGATCCAAATATAAGAGCTGAATTAAAAAACTTTTAGAAGAAAACAAGGGAAAAGCTTCATGACATTTGATTTGGCAAGGATTTCTTGGTTATGACACAGAAGCGCAGGCAACAAAAGCAAAAATAAATAAATTATACTACTCAATTAAAAACTGCATTAAAGGACACAACAGGGTGAAAAGGCAACCTAGGGAATGGGAAGAAAATATTTGCAAATCATGGTAACTGGTTAATATCCAGACTATATACATGGAACTATTATAATTCAACAACAAAGAAACACAATTGAAAAATGGGCAAAGGACTTGAATAGACAGTTTTCCTAAGAAGATATATGACTAGCCAACAAGCATATTAAAAAATCCTTGAAATCACTGATCACCAGAGAAATGGAAATCATAAACCACAATGAGATACCACTCCACACCCATTAGGATGTTAACAAAAAGAACAGAAAGTAACTCTTGTCCCAGCAATGCAGAGAAATTGGAACCCTTGTGCACTGTTGGTGTGAATATAAAATGTTGCGGCCATTATGGAAAATAGTATCAAGGTTCCCCAAAGAATTAGAAATAGAATTACCATGATTCAGCAATCCCACATCTGGGTATATATCCAAAATAATTCAAAGCAACATCTGCATACTTATGTTCATCACAGTATTATTTACAATTAATCAAGTTACAGAAACAACCCATATGTCCATCAACAGATGAATGGATAAAGAAAATGTGGTACTGGGGCGCCTGGGTGGCTCAGTTGGTTAAGGGTCTGCCTTCGGCTCAGGTCATGATCCCAGGGTCCTGGGATCAAGCCCTGCATCGGGCTCCTTGCTCAGAGGAGAGCCTGTTTCTCCCTCTCCCTCTGCTGCTCCCCTTGCTTGTGCTCTCTCTCTCTGTATCAAATAAATAAATAAAATCTTAAAAAATTAATTTAAAAAATGTGGTACATACATCTAATAGAATATTATGTAACCTTAAAAATGAAGGCAGTCCTGTCACATGCTACAACATAGATGAACTCACGGACTTTGTGCTCAGTGAAATAAGCCAGTTGAAAAATGACAATACTGTATATTTCACATATATGAAGTATCTAAAGTAATTGTAATTATAAAAACATAATATAGAAAAGTATTTGCGCAGGGCTGGTAGAAAGGGTGGAGGGAGAATTGGTGTTTAATGGATATGGTGTTTAATGTTGCAAGATGAAGATGTTCTAGAGTTCTGTGGCACAACAATGTGAATATACTTAACACTACTGAACTGTATACTTAAAAATGGTTAAGATGGTAAATTTAATGTTGTATGTTTTTTACCACAATAAAAAAAATGTATAAGATGAAGAAACAAAATTGCAACTCAGCAGTGGGTAGTGTAGGAGACATAGTTTGGAAAAGAAAGGTGGGACTACAATCTGTAAAAGCATGTTCTAGAAAACAAATTTTTTCCTAAATGTTTTACACTATGAATAATTATAGAAGACATGAAATGTATTAAATAAAGTTTAGATAATAACAAGAGGTAAAGAGATTCAGGGGATCAGAGAACAAATTGAAGGAAAAGAATTGTAACAAAAAAAGGAGATGAAAGCCATTAGAAAAAATAATTTGAGGAATGACAGTGGAGATCTAACACAGTGATAACTGTTAGTGTCTCTAAAGAAGATAACAAAAAATAATAACATAAATAAGGAAAACTGAACCTACAATTTAAAAGGACCTACCCCAGTCCTAGGGGAAAATTTGTGTGTAATAATCAACACACAGACTTATGTTGATGATAGTATTGAACGTTAAAGAAAAAGAGCACATTGTACCGGCATCCACACTGAAAAAGCAAGGCAAAAAAACAAAAAAATCAATAAGGAGACAGGCAGAAGAAAGGCAGGCTAAAAGAAGTATAAGTGAACTATTTTCATCTTTTAAGTTGATAAATCAAGAAATAAGTGTGTAAGTTGTAGTATTTAAAATTGTAAGTTATTTCTAAAAGAATTAAACTATAAAACATCTAAAACATTTAGAAAAATGGTAGGAGTAACGGGAGAGTAAAGGGAAGGGAAATGAAAAAAAGTAAATTTGTAACAAAAAAAAAAAATACCGGGTGCCTGGGTGGCTCAGTCAGATAAGCCTCTGCCTTCTGCTCAGGTCCTGATCCCAGAGACCTGGGATCAAGCCTCAAATCCGGCTTCCTGCTCAGCGGAAAATCTGCTCCCTATTCCCCTCCCCCTGCTCATGCTCGCTCTCTCTCTCTCTCTCTCTCTCTCTCTCTCTCTCTCTCAAATAAATCTAAAAAGGAAAAAATACATAAAGAATGGAAAACATATAAGACTGTATAAACATTGGCACGCTTGGGTGGCTCAGTCGGTTAAGCCTCCCACCCTTGATCTCAGCTCAGGTCTTGATCTCACGGTTGAGAATTTGAGCTGCACATTGGGCTCCGCTGGGTGTGGAGCCTACTAGAAAGAAAAAACAAAACAAAACAACACTACATATATTTATGGACTAAATTCATCAATTAAAAAAACTCAGGTTAAAAAACAAACTCAGTTCCATGCTATATAGCAGACACCTTAAAAACAAAGTGACTCAGAATGGTTTCCTTTTAGAAAACCTAGAGACTTATCAAAAGGAAATTTGGAAAAATGATATTGATATAGACAGCCAAAGTGTTGTAGGAATCAAGGAGGAATATTTTTATACTGATTTGCAATCCACAATAAGGCTATAACACATACGTCTTCAACCATGAATTAGCATAAAAATATATATAAAATGAAAATGAAAACATTCTTAAGTGGGGAGAGGGAACTTTCCTTTGGGATGGGAGGAATGCAGAACAGACTATAAACTAACAAAACTCTAGAGAACTCTCAAGGAGAAATGGACAATACAGAATAATAGTAGAGAGGTTGAGTACCCATGCTTACATCATGAGAGATCATAGAAATGAAATTTTTTATGAAAAGCATAGTTAAAAATACATCTGGGAATAATGCAAGTAATGAGGGTGATCTAATAGATATGTATAAATGTTTGTATGCTTTAAAAAATCTTTAAATAAAACTTTTCAGATGCCCATAGAACATTTCTAAAGAGCTTTATTGATATATAATGCACATACTATACAATTCACCAGTTTAAAGTGTACAGTTCAATGGTTTTTACCCTATTCATAGGTATGTGCAGCCATCAACACAGTTGATTTTAGAATGTTTTCATCACCTCAAGAACAAACCCTATACCCTTTGCTATCACCCCTCCTACCCCCTCATCACTGCCTCCTGATCTACTTTGTCTCTATAGATTTCTCTATTCTGGACCTTAATACAATAATTAATTAATATGGAATCATATAAAATGTAGACTTTTGTGACTGGCTTTTTTTTTTAAAGATTTATTTATTTATTTGAGAGAGAGAGAGAGAGAGTACATGAGAGGGGGGAGGGCCAGAGTGAGAAGCAGGCTCCCCGCCGAGCAGGGAGCCTGATGCGGGACTCAATCCCGGGACTCCGGGATCATGACCTGAGCCAAAGGCAGTTGCTTAACCAACTGAGCCACCCAGGCGCCCAGTGACTGGCTTCTTTTAACTCAGCATGATGTTTTCAGATTCATATAAGTTATAACACATATCAATATTTTATTCATTTTAATGGCTAACTAATATTCCATCATATGTATATGCCACATTTTATCCATTTGCCCATTAATGGACATTTGGGTTGTTTCTACCTTTTGACTATGATAAATAATGCTTCTGTATAAATATTCATATACAAGTTTTTGTGTGGACGTATGTTTTCATTTCTCTTGGGTATATACCTAGGAGTAGAATTGCTGGGTTATATGATAACTTTAAATTTAATCGTTTAAGGGGCGCCTGGGTGGCTCAGTCGGTTAAGCGGCTGCCTTCGGCTCAAGTCATGATCCCAGGGTCCTGGGATCGAGCCCTGCATTGGGCTCCCTGCTCAGCAGAGAGCCTGCTTCTCCCTTTCCCTCTGCCTGCTCCCTTTCCCTCTGC